AGAGAGAGAGAGAGAGAGAGAGAGAGAGAGAGAGAGAGAGAGAGAGAATGAGAATAAGAATAAAGGAGAAAGTTCTGTTTGGCCACATTTATCCCTAGGAGCATTGGAATGTCTGTTGTTAATTCAGTTTGGAGGCAGGACAATAGAATATGTCTATTTGAGAACAGGTTCATACCTTTATCAAAAGGCATTCTTTTCAGTAGAGGAGTTCCATCCTTGATGAGAAAAATGTTGTTCTTGATTTTTCAGATCCTAGTAGGAACTGACTACTTATATCAATTTATCTAAAGGATAAAAATGGAAATTAATCTCCTCCAAAGCATATTTTCTATACTGGCTATAATAGTAACTTAACATTATACAAATACTTTAACATTTGCAAAGTACTTTACACACAGTCATTATCTCCTTTTTTTCTTTGTAACAAATCATTGAAATAAGTGCTGCAGAAGTTAATTCCATTTTCCAGGTGAGAAAACTGGGACTAAGAGAAGTAAAATGACTAGGCAAAGGACATTCAGATGGCAAAATTTCTGAAGCAGAATTTGAACCTCTATCTTTCTCATTCTGAATGCAGTGGTCTATTCATTATACCAGGCATGGCAGATGAATAACCTGCATGCCCTTTATATCTAATCACTTCCTAATGTGATAAAATCAATACTTAATGTTACAAAAATAAAATAAAAGGTTATGAAATCACACTTATAATGAATTTCTTTTTCTGTTTTCAGGTTTTATATGGGGTGAAATTAAACAGATGTGGGATGGTGGACTTCAAGATTACATCCATGACTGGTGGAATCTAATGGATTTTGTAATGAATTCCTTATACTTGGCAACAATCTCTTTGAAAATCGTTGCATTTGTAAAGGTAACTTTTATATTATTCCTGGCTAAAGAAAAGGTTCTGATAATTAGCAGTACTTTTAAAATCTGTTATCGTAAAGATTTTAATTAGTGAAAGCACCTAAACTCTTAGTACATTATCAACATGCTCACAAAAGTCATCTGCAGTGATTTAGGAAGCAATGAATGATTTATAGTCATAAAACTGAATTTTAAAAAGAGAAAAAGATCATTCCCCAATGCCATCACATCTACATCAAATCATGTCTCAGAATTACCTATAAGAAGTGCCTTAATTAGTGTGCTCTTTCAAAGGCTAATGAAATTCCTCCCCTGCTCACATACTGGTTAACATATGGCAACCAAAATATCCATTTTTATCCTTGAGAAAATAATAGATAAAACCTCATAGAGAGATCAAAATATTACACTTATAAAACATTAATATTATAATTTCAGCCTAAATTAATGTAGTTTAATATCATTAAAGGGAAATATAATTTCTTTTTTCCCCTGTTCCCACTCAAGATGACAGTGCTTGAAATCATACACACCCATTACTCCCCCAGGTTTTACACAGCATCAATCTCACACTCAAACTCCACACATCGCATAAAACAGCCTTTGTTCTTCAGTGACTAATGAAATTATTTTGCACTTGATGTAATTCTTCCAACCAAAGTCACAACATCTTTTCTTCTCCTCCTCCTCCTTTCCTTTTCCTTTCCATCCATCTTTTAAGAGGTGTAGTAGTAAAGTTAGAAAAATTCTGAACTTAGATATTGCATTTAGAAGACTGTGCCTGCAGACCTAGATATGTCTCTTTCAACACTGTGTGAAATTGGACAAATTGTAGAATTTTGAGCTGGAGGGGACTGAAGAGATTCTCTAGTCCAGAGGTGTCAAATATGCTTCTGGGCACAATGCTCCCAAGTACAGCTTGAACCAGAACAAAATGTAATTAGGAAATAACAAAATATGTAAAAAAAAAAAACAATAAAAGATAAATAACATTACACTTTAAAAATAAGTCATCACACAGCCAGTATTCATTAGAAGCAGCACTTGAACCCAGGTCTTCTTGGCTCTAGAGCCAGCTCTTTCTCCAATACACTATACTGCCTCTCAAAAAAAAAGTGGAAATAATACATTATCTGACAGGGTTGTGCTGGTAAATGTTTAACAATCAGCTCTGTCTCTGTCTCTCTCTGTCTCTCTGCCTCTTTGTCTCTATTTCTCTCTCTCTCCTTCTTTCCCTCCTATATACATATATACGTATGTATATGTGTGGACATGCACAAATACATATATTCACACATATATACATGCATACATATGTATACACACATACATGTATACACACATGTACAACACACTTTCAAGCTTATTCTGCATTGTTAAAATTTTCTCCCTCAGTTTCTAAAGTCTAGGTGATCAATAAAACAAGAAATCAAGCCCTGCTAATGTTTACACGGAAAATTTAACAATCTTTAGTAGCTCCATCATACCCATTATCTACCCTACTAACTTATAGTTTGTAAATTATTTAGGTCTATACCAGCATAAAGTGATTTTTCATTCTTTCTCCTGAGATGATTAGAGGCTCAATAGAAGTTAAAAAATGTTTAATTTGACTTTGCATGAACATTGAATTCAACTTAGTGATCTGAATGAGCAAATACCTGGCAAACAGGCTGACTGTTACTGATTAGTCAAATTCTTATAATGGATTGCCAAGCATCCTTGCTATTTTCAGGCATAAAGAACTCATATATAGGTGACACCACTATTATGTATTATGTGGGCAGTATAGTTATTTTTTTTTGCTCAACAAGGCAAATTTACTGTTTTTTAGGATTTATTTCATTTTAAAAATAGTGCCAAGACTCACCAGATAACTAGTAAAATCGATTTCCATGGTTTTCATGGAAGTCAAGCTATGTTTGAAGAATGGAAAAGCTTAAAACTTGTGAATTTTTCCTACAATTTTAAGTTATATATTGATGAAGAGCCCATAAATACTAAAAGGATAACTACCTCTGTCATATATAATGCATAATAATAGACCATATGTATTTCACAATTTATAGTTCAAGTCCGTTACGCAAATTGTCCCATTTGAACTCCACAACAATCCTATGAGATAGATAAAGTAGCTCTTGTCACTGTTGTCATCCTACAGAGAAGTAAATTTAGGCTTAGAGAAGTTGTGACTTGCCCAACACTAATCAACAACAACAAATGCAACTAGGAATTGAAAAAATAAAAACCCAGAAACCTGTGTTTTCTAACACCAATTCATTCTTTCTAGCATATGACCCTTCCTCTACATTCATATTCTTCTCTCCCATATAACGACTTGTCTTTTAAGTTATATGGGGACACTTTTCTTCTTAACAAATTGCCAACTAAAAAGTAATACAGTTTTGTTTTGTTTTGTTTTGTTTCTGATCTGGAAAGTTGACGTAGTCCTTAAAATTCAATAAAACATTTTATAACCATTTTTGGTATTATAAAATTGTCTGGAAGAAATATGTATACTGTAAATCTGATGAGAACTCCTTCCATGTTTGAGATCCAGCCATTCATTAAAAAAAATGTTAAATACCTTAGCAAACAAACTTGGTGTAGATGTATGTACAAAGATAATTCTCACTCAGAGAAGGCTTTCTAGAGGACGTATCATTTGATTTGGACCTAATATAATGGATAAGATAAAATAGAGAAAGGAAGGGAGGAAAGGACGGAAGGAAGGAAGGAAGGAAGGAAGGAAGGAAGGAAGGAAGGAAGGAAGGAAGGAAGGAAGGAGTGAAAATAGACAATCCTAGAGACCTAGGTAAAACCAAGCTCAATTATTTAGTGAATTGTGGTACCATTGAAAGAAATAGGGTGACATAGTAGAATATGGAACTCTTGTTGGGAGCCAGCTTGGTCATTTATTACCTGTGTGACCTTGAGTAAGTCGCTTGATCCTCATGGGTCTTAAGTTTCCTGATCTGTAAAATAAGAAGATTGAATCAGGTGACCTTAGATATCCCTTCCATTTCTAGTCCTATTATCCTAAGAAAGAGTTAGTTTAGGAGCAAACATTCAATTTGAGGTGCTTCCAGGATATCCATTAGGCATTTAAAAATGTGGATCAGAAGCTTATAAGAGAGATTGAAGCTGAAGATTTGTATTTGGCAGTAAAATTATCATAAACATTATAGTTGAAGCCATGATAATGGTTAAGACTGTTGGGGTAAGGGTTTCCTGAGAGAAGAGAAGAGAAGAGAAGAGAAGAGAAGAGAAGAGAAGAGAAGAGAAGAGAAGAGCCAATGAAAAAGGCAATGATGTTGTAATCAGAGAGAGAAGGATCTTGACAGCATGGGAGCAGAGAAGGGTTTATCAAGAACACGTAGGTGGCCAATAGTATCAAATGTTATAGACAAATCAAAGGAGAATAAGGCTTACATTTTAGAAGGCAGTTTCCACAGAGTGATAGCAATTCAATAGGGCAATGGATTCAAGAATGAGGGGGTCATAAGAAAATGGAAGTATTAGGGCACAGACTAAAATTTCAAGAAATTTTCTGTTGAATAGAAAGTGAGCTATTAGGAGGAAAGGTTCATACATACATAAATACAGAAGAAGACAACTCATTTCTATAATTCACTGAAAAATGTATCTTTCCTGAAAACAATAATGCCTTACAAAAACTGGTTTTCGCTGTAGACTGACAGATATGAAAATTCCTTTTATATGTTGTATTCCTATCTAGCATCTATCAGGAAGGCTATTCAGGCCTTTCAATATTAAATATTTAATATATCCACCTTTTGTTTTATTACGCTCAAGGATTTTTTCCCTTGACTTCACCCTCGTGTCCTACCTCCCCTCATCCCCTCCTCCACCACACACACAGAAGGAAATTAAGAAAAGACTTACTATATCCCAGAGAGATCATGCAAATGGGAAAAAGGACCCACGTGTACAAAAATATTTATAGCAGCTCTTTTTGTGGTGGCAAAGAATTGGAAATTGAGAGGATGCCCATCAATTGGGGAATGGCTGAACAAGTTGTGGTATATGAATGTAATGGAATACTATTGTGCTATAAGAAATGATGAACAGGCTGACTTCAAAAAAACCTGGAAAGACTTGTATGGTCTGATGCTGAGTCAAGTGAGCAGAACCAGGAGAACATTGTACACAGTAACAGCCACGCTGTGCAATGACTAATATTGATAAATTTAACCCTTCTCAGCAATATGAGGATCTCAGACATCTCCAAAGGCCTCGTGATGGAAAATGCTATCCACAAAGAAGAAAGAACTATGGAGTTTGGATGTAGATCAAAGCATACATACCATTTGCTATTTTTTTTTCTTCTGTTGTTTGTTTCCTCTTTCTCGTGGTCCTCCTATTGGTTCTAATTCTTACTTACAACATCACTAATGTGAAAATATGTTTAATAGGAATGTATATATATAGCCTATATCAGATTACGCTCCATCTTGGGGAGGAAGGTTGGAAGGGAGGGGGAGAAAAATTTAAAACCCAAAAGCTTATGGAAGCAATTGTTAATGATTTAAAATAAATTAATAAAAAAAGAAACAGCTTATAAATATGAAATTACTCATTATGAATGGTCAACACAGGCAATATGGAATGCTGGACAAAGAATTGGCTTCACACCCAGCAAGATCTAGGTTCAAGTCTCATTGCTGACACATACTGGCTGTGTGACCCTGGGCAAAACAAATATCTTAATCTATTAGTGCTCCAGGCAGCTCTCTAAGACTATGAGTTACAGTCACTGTTCAGTCATGTCTAACTCTTTGTGACCCCATTTAGGGTTTTCTTGGCAAAGATACTGGAGTAGTTTGCGATTTCCTTCTCCAACTCACTTTACAAATGAGGAAACTGAAACAAACAGGGCTAATGACTTATCCAGGGTCACACAGTTAGGAATTGTCTGAAGCTGGATTTGAACTCACAAAGATGAGTCTTCCTGACCCCAGATCTGGCACTCTATCCACTGTG